TCAGGCGCCTTAGCTTTACCTTTCTCCTGAACGCCAAGGGCCCTTATTTTGCCTCTGTAACTTTCTAAATTTCCTCTTAGAGTTTGCGGGGGGGAGAAAGAGAATGGATTTTATATTTTTAAATAGTTGAAAAAGTCAAAAGATGAACAGTGCCTTGTGGCATGTGAAAATTACATGAAAGGGGGATTTCACTGCCCACAGGAACATTTTATCAGAACACAGCCGTGCTCATTCATTTGCTGTCATCTCTGGCTGCGTTCCTGGTCCTGCCGCAGGGTTGAATAGTTGCCACAGAGACTGGATAGCTCTCCGAGTCTACAGTATTTATTGCCTGGCCTTGTATTAGCGATCCATTATCCATTGCTAGGAAACAAATGACCTAAAAACGTTTATTATTTCAGAGCTTCTGTGGATCAGCTTCGCTAAGTCCTCTGCTTCAAGGTCACTCCAAGGCTGCAAAGTGTTGGCTCAGCTGGGAAAGGAGCTGCTTCCCAGGCATGGGTTGTTGGCAGGATTCGGATCCGTAGGGTTGTTGGCGGGATTCAGTTCCATATGGTTGTTGGCCTAAAGCCTCAGATTCTCGCTGGCTATTGGCTGAAGATCACCTACCATTCCTTGCCATGTTGGCCTGTCCAACATGGTATCTTGCTTCTTCAGAGCATGCAAGCTAGGAAGGTAGTAGAGGGAGTCTGCGAGGAAGATGGAATTTGTAAGCTGATTGTGAAAGTGGCACCATCGTCTTTCTTGTTGATGTTGGTTAGGAGACAGTGGTTATTGGGGACCATCTGAGAAGTCCATCTACCACGAGTCCTTAGATAATTAATTTATTTGTCCTCCCAAGATGTGCTTTTTTTGGTGATTATTTTAATAAATTGATTTTGCATATGATGGTATAATATTCTAAAACAAAATCAAGCAGTAATTTGTTGAACTTTTATATTTATCCATGTTACTCATAACACCGTGAATTAACTCAACTATATATATATATATATATATATATATATATATATATGTAAAAGCCTAAGCAACTGTTTGACCAGTAGCTATGGCATGCACTGACCACTAGGAGGCAGATGCTCCAACCAGTAGGTTACCTTGCTCCTGGGGTCTGGCAGATCGGGACTGGGCAAGACAGGCCGGGCATGCCCTGGAAGTCCTTCTGCGGTCACTCCCGTGGCCCTGATTGTGTACCGGTGGGGTCCCTTGGCTTGGCCTGCACCCTCTTGTAATTGGGGACCCCTCGGGGGATGTCAGAGAGCCACAGGCCAGGTCAAGGGATGTCACCAGTACACATACACAAATTCCTGCACCAGGCCTCTAGTTTGTAATAAAATCTTTTTCTGTTTATAGATATGTTGTTTTCAGAGTAATATATAGAGTAATTACAATATTATTATTATCTTACCCTCTTTTAAAAAGAGATTATATTTCCTTTTCCTTGGATTTCTTCTTTATGATCAAATCATTTATTGGCATGTTTTATAAAATCTTCTTGATTCCTAGTGTGCTGTTCAACTTTTCTTCCTCATTTTAGGTATTATGTACCCAATAGCAACATCTGTGTTCCCAGGTTTTTGTTTTTGTTTTGTGCTTGTTATTCCCAAGTCTACTGTCACAATAGCTATTCATCTATACATTATTTCACACGAACCAATTGCAGCAGCTGCAGACGAGAGTGAAATGATCCTCCTTTCACATTCTTCAGCCTTCTTTTTCTTGTTTTCTTTCATCATCCTTCAGATTCATTTACATCTGCTTTACAGATCCATTTACATCTGTAGAACTGGATCCTACTGTATTACTAATTTGCCCTCTGAAGCACTCTCTAGGAAGGTGGAGAGGGTTTAGAGCCCTGATAAAACACAGGGCAGAAATTTGACTTAACTTTCTAGCTGGAAGCAGAGTGCATCAACCTAACATCAAACACGGCTTCATCCGGGTCCTGTCAATGGCCTTGGCCTGGTTTCCCAGCCCAGAAAGGCACAGCAACGAGATCAAGTGGGTGGGTGTGGACCACCCCAACATGGGAAACTCAACATGGAAGCTACATCACACAACTCCCATGAGCACAGCTTCCCAGCCCCCACACGACACCCTTGGGGATAAGAGAGAGCACACAGTTTGCTGGAAGCATTTTAACAGCCCTGAGCCAGACAACCTCCCCAGCCAGGTGCAGGTCACCTCTCGGGTTATTTCACAATAACCAGGCATGGCTGACATTTCACATGGATGTCGATCCATCCATTTCAAGGAAACTGTAAGAAGATAAAGCCAAGGTCATCTTCCCAGGAGAAAGGTTTAAGCCTCCTAGGAGCCCCCTCTCTCTACCATCCCACCCCAATTTCTTCTCTTCCTGGCAGGCAGTGTCCTACCAGGAACGACGTCAGCCCTCCGCACCTGCTGAGGAGACCCTGGGCCGCTCATTTACCACCACAGCGAGAAGGAGTCTCTTGCATGGCTCCTGCTCTCACTGCTCCAAGCTGGGATGGTGATGCCTCATCTGCGAGGCTCTACTGCTGGTTTTGGCCATATTATTTTCACGTGGGAAAGGCGAGGATTTGGGACTACCATACCGCTCCTCCCTGTTCCCTCATCAGCATGTTTTCAACAGGAATTTCTTCAGACTTGTACTCAGTTTCTTCCCGACCTGATCCCTGACTCGTCCGAATCTAGAACTCTAGTTCCCTGCACCTGCCAGCCACCCTGGTTGTATGCGGTCTGTGTGCCCTGGGTGTACACAGGTCTCCTCCTGCTCCCCCTCCAGTTCCAGCATCTCGGTGGGCCATCCCTGTTTTCAGGCACTCCCTGCTTTCTCAGAGCCCCTCCTTTTGTGGCTGAACCCACCATGGGTCAACATGACTGACCATTTCTTTCCCTCGTGACCAGCACGCAGAGGACTGGGTTGAGAAAGTAATAGTATAGAGTCAGAACCTCAGAGGATGTCAGTCCAGGGCTCAGAAAAGAATGCCCGCAACCGTGTGTCTTTATTCTGATCCTCTTGCACAGCACATTCCTGCCTGCGGGGCAGAGGCCCATTCCAGGTTGGGAAATGGAAAAGGCAGTGCTTGCTTTTCTCTGACGGACAGGACTCCCAGTTTCTCTGTCAGACATAAGGGGCCTGATCTGAGGGGAGGATTGTCTCTGATGCTGAAAATCCTGCCGAGCAGTGAGCAAGAGGAGAATGTAAAGAATCGAGATGAAAAGAGGTCACTGCTCATCTTTTCACTTGTTCCACCGTCATCCCCGTCATCTGGAGAAGATGGAGTGCTAGAAATGGAAGTAGCTTTGCATTGAACAGCACTGCTGGAGTTTTTAGTAAAAATTTACAGTCCACTGTTGTTTCACAGATTCTCAAGGGCTACTTGCTACAGACTCCACTTATGGAAGTACTAGAAGCCTGATGCACGAATTCGCACACCAGTGGTGTCCCTTGGCCTAGCCTGCGGGATTGGGCTGAAATCAGCTCTCCAATATCCCCCGAGGGGTCCCAGATTGTTAGAGAGTGCAGGCCAGGCAGAGGGACTCTACTGGTGCACAATCAGGCTGGGGATGGCCAGCCAGGGAGGGACCACGGGAGGGCTCTAGGGCGTGTTGGGCACTTCTCACTCTGTCCCAATTAGCCGGACCCCAGCAGCAAGCTCACCTACCAGTCGGAGCATCTGCCACCTGGTGGTCACTGCACATTGTAGCAAGCCGTTGAGCACCCTTAACATATTATTAGCATATTATGCTTTGATTGGTTGAATGGCTGACCAGATGACTGGACACTTAGCATATTAGGCTTTTATTACATAGGATATCAGTAGCTCTTTTATCAAGTATTTGCTGTGTTTCGTGCTATACATCCTATCTTAGGTCATTTAAACGCCGAAATACCCACTTCAGGTAGATATTGTTGTTATCCCCATTTTATAGTTGATAAAATCAAGATAAAAAGAGATGAACTGCCTCAAGGTCACAGAGCCAGTAAGCAGCAGAATTTAACTCTGAGAATGAACTTAGTCTGGCTGCAAAGTCCATGTTCTTACCACACTGTACTGTCTTACAAACTTATTATCTGTTTTGACCCCAAACAATTATTCATATTTTAATGCACAGCAGGGGGCCTTTTTGTAAACCCAAATAATGGAGGAACTGTGTGTCTCCATGATTGTGTTAAGCTTCTGAATTTCTATGACCCTTCCACTCTTTCTTTCTCATGAAATTATTGATCTGGCTTTTCAGGAGGGCCTCCCTCCCCCCCTCCCCCCTGCACAAAAGTACAGTTATTTGAATTGGATTGATCTCTTCTGTGGCCTTAGAATAAATTCAGATATTTCATCAAGGAGCTGGATTATCATCATTTTTTACTTTCCATACTAAGGAGCAGACTTGACTCTGTCCTTGAGTGTCACTCGCCTTCCAGAGCCTGCCCGTCTGTTTCATTGTGGTAGGAAGTGAAGCAGAAACCCAGGTTGTTCTGGTATCAAGAGCAGAGCCACACTCAGGTGGTCTGACTCCCCGCCTCAATCTTCCTTCCCTCTGCACTCCCGCTGGCCCCTTATGTTTGCTGGCATGCAGGGAAAGACGGGCGAGACGGGTATGGTTCGGGGTCTCATTTGTCCTCTCAAATTTGGGTACTGAACTCACTTCCCTGAATTTGTTAAGAGTTGCTTCCATGGTGAAATCTTGCACTGTAGGGTTGAGTCCATAGGTAGGTGGTCTTGTCTTTTTCATTTCTTTCATTCCAAACTTTCCTTTTCATTTCTTCCCAATTAAATACTCGGGATGGTGGCTTCTTGTTAGGATTGATTTATGTTGAAAAAAGGATCCAGTACTTTTTGTTTCTGCTTATTTAAGTTTCAGAAATTTGATTTCATAGTTTAAATATCCTTGTCTCTGTTTTTCACATGTGTTCAATTTCCAAGTGCACTGTGCTCTTCTTGCTTTTGCTAAGAATACCGTCCCTCTCACTTCGCCCTCTGATTGTTTTAACCACACGTTTTATCTGCCTACAGGAGAATATTAAAAAGTGAGCCTCCGTACCCCCAAGATATGAGTGCTTTAGCTAAAGACCTAATTCAGCGTCTCCTGAGGAAAGATCCTAAGAAAAGATTGGGATGTGGCCCGCGTGATGCAGATGAAGTCAAAGAGCATCTCTTTTTCCAGGTGAAATTTACTGAACAGATCTATGCCCTGCTGGTCCCACTGTTCAAATGTGAAATGAATGAACGTGGTCTTTTTTGAGTAGTTTTCTCCCTATTTTCATGTACATGGCGCTTTTTTTTTTTTTTAAATGACAGGGACCATTTAGGAAGGATCAAAATTCGAGTGGTAGAGACCTGAGTGGTCTCTTTCTCTCTAAATGAAGTGGGGGGTTGAGGAGCCGGGATCATTTACGATCACAAGATTTAAGCAAATGAACTGAGGAGACTTTCATTATATGTTTTGCTTCTCTCTCAGTTCGTGATCCGTCGTGTCACAACTTTTAGATAATGATTTTTCTCTCTTCTTTCCCCAGGAGAAATCTCAGAGAATTCAAAAATGTCCCTATTTCTTAGTTCCATGTCTGTAACACACAGAGAATCACTCATTTATTTTCTTGGTACTTGAGACAGTGCTTTTCCTCTTCTGAATAAGTCTAATAAGACCACGCAACAGGATGCCAACACAGCTGCTCAACTAAGTTTGCTCATTTTTGTCTAAAAAGCCCACAGAATGTTAGATAACTATAATAGATAACTTGGGGGGAGGGGGGGACGGGGAGTTGAATTGACTGAGTTGGCTGTTTCAATTATTTCAGTCTAAATGGTCAACTTGGGATGCCATGACCTTGATTTCTAATACCCCGAGCTCCTGGCTTTTAAATAATTTCATCATATCAACAGCATAACCTAAATATTTCTGGTCTAAAGGGACATCCAAGTTTTATTTTTATTCTCCAAAACGAACTTTTACATTATTAGCACCAAAACAAATGAAAATAGCTACCAATGCAAAGAAAAAACTCTGCTATAGAGTAAGCTTTCGCATTATTTATTGTTTTTAAATATAGAACAAACAGTGATTGAGAGTAAGAATTATCTCTACTTCTATGCTAAAAAAAAAAAAGTGCTATTATTCCAGTCTCCGTATATAGTGGGAAATACATTTAGAATAAAATTAATTTCGTGTGGCATAAAAAGGTTAATGTTTGAACAAACCATTTCATATATCTTGTTCAGAAGTTTGGCTCAAAAATTAATAAAATAAAATTTTAAAAAGTATTCAAACGAAATATCTCAATCAGATTTTCCTAGAATTTTTTTTTCTCCACGATTCCCTGTGATTATTAATATTACGATATATCTACCCTTCATATTAGATAAATTTCTTTTCTCTGTAGCTTGGAATAGTAATCTTAGGTTATTTAATAGCCTTGACTTTTTAAATGATAAGGACACTTAAGGAAAAACCAGAATTCTATTTGTAAAGATCTAAATGGAGTAGAGGTGGAAAGGGTTATAATAGTATTCAATTTTCTACATACTAAACATTGTCCTGCTAACAACATATCTCTTTAAATTACCTTCTTACTCTAGAAGTTTCTCCTAATGAATGTGCACTAGCCAAGCACAAATCATAAAATGGAAAACATTACAGCCACAGAGGAAAGGGCACTAGTAGGAAGTCAAGAAACTGTGTACAAATCCTGACCCCTCCGCAGGCTGATGTTTAAGTGAAATGGTTAATTCTTATTCCCAGACTCCATTCCCATCTGGGTCGAATAAAGGAGATAAATTAAATGATCTCTAAAACAACTGGAGCCGAAAAATTAGAACATTCTAGTTGAAAAATTTGAGCAACTTAATGATTTTATCTCCATTGCCTCCACAAGAGGGCATAATAAAAACATTTTATATTAGTTGATTAAACTTACACAATGTCATCAACCTAGAAATGCAGGTTTCACATTTTACCCTTTCTAAAATCAGTATACATCTTATAGTGGACATCTCACTGTTCTAATTGGAAATGTTTTTTCTTTCTTTCTTTTATATATTTTATTGATATTTTACAGAGAGGAAGGGAGAGAGATAGAGAGCTAGAAATATCGATGAGAGAGACACATCGACCAGCTGCCTCTTGCACACAGCCCTACCGGGGATGTGCCCGCAACCAGTGTACATGCCCTTGACCGGAATCGAACCTGGGACCCTTCAGTCCACAGACCGACGCTCTACCACTGAGCCAAACCGGTTTCGGCTGTTTTTTCTTTTTTAAAAATATTTTTTTATTGATTTCAGAGAGGAAGGGGGAGGAAGAGAGAAAAAGAGATAGAAACATCAGTAATGAGAGAGAATCACTGATCACCTACACGGAGCCTGCAACCTGGGCATGTGCCCTTGACCAGGATCAAACCTGGGACTCTTCGGTCTCCAGGCCAACACTTCATCCACTGAGCCAAACCAGCTAGGGCTGCTTTTTCTTTCTTAATGGTGCATAAAATAATATCTTACTATCAATGATGACATCTTAGACTTGAAGACATACCTGAATAGGATATCTGTAGGGCTCAGTTCAGTAAAGCATTGTCTGATGTTGTGTTAAGTGACAGAAGGAGCATATAAAAACAGCAGAGGGTTGCATCTGAATAATATAAGGCAGCAATTTATCAGGCAGTGAGTGTCTGCTATGTGTGGAAAGGGGGCTTGGATTATCCCATGGGTAGAGAAGAGGCACTTTAAAAAGGCATGAATGCAGTTAAATGAGAAAGTCATTCATCAGTATGATAGTATCGTTTAAGCTTATGGATGTCAGTAAATATATGCCTTATGCTGTGTTTATTTTCTGATCTGTCCAGATGCCTAGGAGGAAAGCTCAGTAACACTGCCTCTAGAGAATAGGAATGTGCTTTAGACTTCATAGCATAGCCACCGGGCATCTTAAAGCCCTTTATTAGAGTTCGTTTTTGGGGTTTTTTTTTCTTTGTTTTTCGGCTTAACTTTTCCCTGGAGGCTCAGAACAAAAGTTACTTTTCCTGTTGTCCCTAAGGGTAAACTAGGGTGTCCTGGTGCCCCCTAGAAGATATGATGAGACTCCATGTCAGGCCCTGCTAAGCTGCCTTCAGAAAATGTGGTCATGCTTATAAGAATACTAGAGTCCCAGCGCACGAAATTGTGTGGTTGGGTTCCCTAGGGCCTGGCCTCCTATGATAAGGGCCATGTTCTGCCCGTTCACTAGTCCCCAGACTGAATGCCACCTCCACTGCTGGGCTGTCAGGCTGTTGGGATCATCAGCTCATCCCCAGCTGCTCCAGGGCTCAGGCCTGTGGGAAAGCAGGCACCAGCGACTCCACCTCCATGCGCCTATGCCGGCTGGCCGCTGATGGAACGTGCTGCCTGCTCAGGGCTGCTCATGTGGGCACCATGCTGCCACTGCTGCTGGGGCTTGAGGCACTAACAGAAGCTGCAGGGCGTGCCCCACAACCTACTCACCCTAGCATTAACAGCCCCAAGTAGGAAGCATGTTCCATCAGCAGCTGGCCCATCACATGCTCACGGAGGTGAAGTCACCAGCACCTGCTTTCCACAGGCCTGAGCCCCCGAGCAGCCAGGAATGAGCTGGTATTCCCAACAGCCTGACAGCCAGCCCAGTCCTCCCGCCATCTACCCCAATTCCCCCGTTCACCATCGCTGATCCATTAGAGCCTTCGTGCCCGGGGCAGGGACCAAGAGGTGCTCAATGCACCTCATGGTGACTGGTCGTTTGGTCGTCATGGTCGTCATGGACACAGGCTTTTTATATATAGATATATAGATATGTAAATCATTTAATCATTAATTTGAAATATATGCCTCTCTTTCCATGATCAATTAAAATTCTCATCTGGCTTTGTTATTCTTAGAAAATATATTTCAACATTGCTGATTTCTATTTTGTACTAACTTTCTTCATCTGTTTTAGAAAATAAATTGGGATGATTTAGCTGCCAAAAAAGTGCCCGCACCATTTAAGCCCGTCATCCGAGATGAATTAGATGTGAGTAACTTTGCGGAAGAGTTCACAGAAATGGATCCCACCTACTCCCCGGCGGCACTGCCCCAGAACTCCGAGAGGTTGTTTCAGGTGAGCTCCAGGCCGCGCGTGCGCATTGGCCACGCATGTTTTGGAAAGAAAGCTTCACTTCCTGAGTGAACATTTATTTTGGCATTTAAAAAGCAGGATTCTCTAATATCTTCAACAATTTTAAATACAGAGATTTGAAAATTGTTAACTGAAGTTTATGGTTTGTTAAATAGCAAACATTGTTTATGTGCTAATTTTTTATAGAAAAACTATTGATTTTTATCTCTGAAAGTTTATCTCTTTTCAGGCTCTTTTATAGAAAACATAATACTACTTTCTTTTATCCCTATTTATATAAAATACCAGGGGCCTAGTGAACAACTTCATGCACCTTGAAAGGAACTATGGGCCACGAAGCTGCGGTAAACACTGGGGCGGGTCTCGCCCATCCTCCCTGACTTCACCCAGCCCCTCCCACTGCAGCCCCTGGTCTCCTATCTGCTGGCAGCCCTGCTCCCACTGCCATCACTCCCTTGCACTAATGGCACTGGCCCTGCTCACACCCACTGACAACTCGGGGCTGGCACCAGCAGTGGGTGCAAGTGACAGCTGATGCCCTGATTGCCCCTCTGGAGCAGGGGGAGATGGAGAAACCCTCAGGGGTGATCAGGGCCGGTAGCTGCTGCTCACACCCACTGATGGCGCCAAGTGATTGGAACTGGCGCTGGGCACCGGCAGTGGGTGTGAGCAGGGCCAGTGTTAGCAATGGATGTGAACAGCTGCTCAGGTGCTGGCAGTGGGTGTGAGTGGGGCTGGCGCCAGCAGCAGGTGCAAGCCCTGGGCAGGACCACAGTGCACAGGAGCAAAGAATTTTCAGTAACCACTAGAGGCTCACCTCCAGTGACAGTGACTGGTACCACGCCTTGGTCTGGCACCCCTGCTCATCTCCACCATCCAGCTGCAGCCAATGCCCACCATGTTCCACACACGCCCCCTGGTGGTGAGCACACATCATAGCCACCAGTCGTTTGGTTGTTCTGCCATTTGGTCTATTTGCATATTGGCTCTTTATTATATAGACTTCTTTACTTCATAAATAATGTTATCTGATTCTTTGTCTTCAGTGAATAATCTTAACTGCTCAAAAAATGTTTAGAAAGAATTGTACTAGTATATTTAGAAAAGAATCTTTCTCAGACTTAAGATGAAATAGTCTATTAAGTGTCATCATAGCTTCCCTCCTTTGACTTCCACAAATAAGTTTGGCTGCACCTGGCCATCCTGACCATGTCTGTGAACATTCGTGACACTAATGTCTAGCACTTGCCTGGGCACATAGTAGGCGTTTAGAAAAATGTTTATTGAACTAGTGAATGTTCTAGCCTGAACAGATTAGTCATCCATCAGTGTGTCACTTTTGGTTCAAGACATCATTCTGCCACTTGATTTTTTCCTTTTCTAAAACTCAATTTTAAATTTAATTAGTCTAAAGAAATAGACTGAGACAAAAATTGCTGACTTAGAAACCAACTGGAATGTAACTTGTTTTTTTCCTAGTTTGGAAAACAGTGGCACTGGAACCACTTTGCTTAATACCTTAACTCAACCTTTTTTGAGAAGTTACCTGTGTTTATAAATAAATTTTTATCAGCAATGCAAAAGAATTACAGCTATGAGTCAGATTTTTGGGGTAAAATAGAGAAGGGTTTTTTTGGGGTTTTTTTTCTTTCTTGTTTTTTTTTTTAGAGGTATTTTTCTGCCTTTAATTTTGAATTGGTTTAGTTCTACCAGAAGATGGCATTATCTCCTTTTGAAAAGCATTTTTCTATGAATTTGAAATAAGCTTGCATTTTAGATTACAAATAAAATAAAGTTAGAATCATCTTACTGAATATTTGAGTGTTTTTTATTTATTTTTTTTCTTGAATTAAGAAAAAAATATTACAGTCTAGTCCATGCTAACCTGGAAAATAGCACATCTGTGTTCTCACCTCTGCTTTTGTGTTTCAGGGCTATTCCTTCGTTGCTCCTTCTATTCTCTTCAAGCGCAACGCAGCCGTTGTAGACCCTCTTCAGTGTCACATGGGAGTGGAACGTCCTGGGGTGACAAATGTTGCCAGGAGTGCAATGATCAAGGTATATAGATGTGGCTAATTAAATGACATATTTGTGGCTTAAGCACTAATACTGACATTCTCAAGCTCCATAAATTTAATAGACTTACCCATTCAACCAAGATGCGGTTTTAAGAAATGAATAAATGGAATAGCAATATTTGCCCTAGAGAATTGTTATCATCAGTGTAAATTAGCTCCTTTTTACAATGATCGAAAATTATATAACTTAAATCAAGGCTATAGACGAACATAGAAATGAGCTTAAAATGAGACGAATTTTAGAAGATGATCCATGCATGTATTCCATTGATATTTATTAACATTAATAATTTCCTATTACTTTACAGTTTCAGTTACCTCGTATACTGATATTTTTCTTAAGTTAAATGATGTTGCTCTCCTATCAGGACTCTCCATTCTATCAGCACTATGACCTAGATCTGAAAGACAAGCCATTAGGAGAAGGAAGTTTTTCAATTTGTCGAAAGTGCATACACAAAAAAAGCAACCAAGCATTTGCAGTCAAAATAATCAGCAAAAGGTATGGCCATTTCTGGCAGTTTCTCTTACGTATTCATCTTAGTCAGTGGGTTCTATAAATTAAGACTTTTATTTTAAAGGAAATCAATGGTGTATTGTAAGGCTTGTTACCCTCAGGTTTGGCCATTCGGTTCCTCAGTTGTTTCGTTATACCTCTAACTCTAACAGATACTTCCAGATAAAGGAATCCATTCCAGACATAAATCGTAGTATAGTTAGGCTTTTCCTGTGAGAAAACTCCCATTGCAGGGATATTTAATCAAACTGGCTTAGTGAGTTCAGCAGCTGTTGTCATTCCTATTCGTTGTTTATTTGAAATACTTTTTTAAAAATAATAATTTAGCAATCTACTGGTAGCATTGAGAGCCAGCAGGTTGTTTTGCTAACTGATTATTACGTCCATAATTACATATTCTTATTACCAAATTGTCGGGCAAGAAGGGCATCCATTTCTTCGTATGATTAGCTCTTTTCTGACTCAGAAACAGTCTTTTCTGAGAATAATGCATTGCTTGTTCTGGTGGGTAGTATGACTCATTATTTCATGGAAGCTTCATTCTCCTTCTTTGACACTTACATTCTAAATGCACTGTAAATAAAAACAAAATGAGGTTTGGGCAACACTGACATAAAACTTGGCGCAGAGGTAGGTAGAGACTAACTGTTTCATCTCGTAGGATGGAAGCCAATACTCAGAAAGAAATAACAGCCCTGAAGCTCTGTGAAGGACACCCCAATATTGTGAAATTGCACGAAGTTTTTCACGATCAGGTAGTCCACAGTCCTTTTCTGTGCATACTAATTCACATTCGAGTTTTCACACTCTCACCAGCTTTGTTGGTGCTCCTGGGTCAGAGTTAAAAATATGGGACATCACCAGCCCTCCACACACACTCTCCCCCACCCCCAAATCAGTGTGACCTTTCGCTCCTGCGTTTTCCTTCAGGGGCAGCGTGCCAGGGGGACAGAGGCCACTGCCGCCGGCTGCACTGTGCTAACGCCAGGCCAGCTGCTCCCACTGGAGCTCAGCGCTCAGACCTCTCAGGTCTCAGAAATGTTCAGCCTTTGACTTTCCTTTTGCTTCTAGAATAGAACATAGAAAGCTGTAAGCCTAAGTGGAGCAAGCTGAGGTACAAACAGGAAGCAGAAAGGCAAAGAGACTTCCCTTTCATCTTCCCATTCCAGACCAGGCCATGCTGCTCTCTCTTCTGCTCCCAGCTCCGATTTTTAACAGAAACCTGGCAGGCGCGTGTGCCTTGGCATTCAGGAGGAGCACCATTGTGTCAGGCCCCCGGCTCCTCCACTGCCACCTTCCAGGGTAGAACTTCCTCTGGGACTGGGTGGGGCACGGCCCTGCTCAAGACAGCATGCTGGGCACACGAGTGAAATTCAGCTAAAACTCCATTTTAAATTTATTCTAAGGAAATAGACTTTGGTTTTACCAAAGAAGAAACTGGGACACAGAAGGGTCATGAGACTTGACCAAAGTCACATAGCAAGTCCGTGAAAACCCCGTTGGGAAAACCTGGTCTCTGACTCTGGGCTCTCTCTCCTTGTCCTGCTGTAACATCCCTGTCCTAGGACAGCTGTAGCCCACTTCTCTGCACATGGAAATTTCCCCAGGTGCTGCCCTTGAGAATGAAACATCCCGGTGAGACCAGGCAGCAGCAGCATCATAGCTGTAAAAACCGCAGCTGTGTGCTGCCATACCTCAGCACTGTACTAGACACTACAGGGAGTCTCTTATCAGTCCCTGCAGTAACTCCATGAGATAAGAAAACGGAGACCCACGGAAGCTAAGGAACAGGGCAGGGCCTCTATTTGTACGTGCTAATGCTGGGATCTGAACCCAGCCAGCTCAACTTTAGAGCAAGCTTTTAATTACTTCACTCTACTGCCCAAGGGGAGGCAGAAACACTGGCTGGTTTTCACATCAGGTGGATAAGCAAGAATGATCTCATTGTCTTCTTGCTTTTTGTTCTCTTAGCCAGAAAAGGAACATCTTTGTAGCAAGAACTCAGTAGGGAATGCCCTCCTGCTCCTCTCCTTGCTCCACCTTTTGGGCTCCTCACCTACAGTGGAGGTGGTGCGACCCCTGTCACTGGGAAGAGCCTGGACCATCTCCCGAAGGCGGTGATTCACACATCAATCATGGGATTGGTCCAGGGCCTTCCACATCCACCTCTGGGTTTTGCAGCTGTCCCCCAGCCACCTCCCAGCCAAGACATTCCATCTCTGACCTTCCAGTTGATGTTGGATCTCAGGAACTGCATCCTGAATTTTTTAAGTCTCAAGTATATTTATTAGGTGCTATTTTTATATTCAAGAGTTACTAGACTATAAATTATCTCATGGTATAATCCCGTAGGTAGTAGTAAAAATATATTATCATTCCAATATGCAGTTGATATCTTGGATTGTTTTACACATGATGGTGACAGGTGGCTAGATTGTCCCCAGTCCACACGGTCTTATTTTCTACTACTGGGTGAAATTGATTGAGGGCAGGACTGCACCCTTGGCTATGCTAGGGTATAGTTCATTTTATGTATTAGGATTCGTGCTTTACGACTCTGTTAGCTTCCTATTGCTGCTGTGACAAATTACCACAAACCTAGCCAGTACAAACATATCAATATGTTTTTATTGATTTCAGAGAGAGAAAGAGAGAGAGAGAGCTACATCAAAGATGAGAGAGAATAAGGCCTGTGCCCTGACCAGAATTGAACAGTGACCTCCCGTTCAATAGATCATCGCTCAGCCACTGAGCCACACCTGCCAGGCTGCCCTCTGTTTTTTTAAAAGCTCACAGGCATATTCTTCAACTTTGACCTTATTTGTCTGATGTAGAAATCCAAATTGGCTTGATTGCTAGTAACCTGAGAACAATTCTCTTACTAAAAGCGTTGTGCACTCTTTTAAAAATATATATGTATTTTTATTGATTTCCAAGAAAAAGGGAGAGGGGGAGAGAGAGAGAGGAACATCAGTAATGAGAAAGAATCATTGATTGGCTGCCTCCTGCATTCTTCCTACTGGGGATGGAGCCTGCAACCCAGGCATGTGCCCTTGACAGGAATCAAACCCAGGACCCTTCAGTCTGCAGGCTGACGCTCCATCCACTGAACCAACCGGCTAGGGCGGATTGTCCACTCATTACATTTTACCCAGTATGTGCAGGATGATGTATTTATAATTGTCTTTTTTACGAAGCAAGTTTTCTGGATTTTGCTAATTAAAAGGGAAACATAAATATTTTGGTTTTTGAGTGACGGTGCTATGAGTATTGAGTTAATATATTTTTTAAACCATTTGTGTTAATTTGAGAGCTAATATAATTCCTTTGCTTTTTGATAGCTATGTTATTTCTTTATGGGAAACATAGTAAGTATATAATTGATTAAACTAATTAAGATAATGCCATTTGGATCAAAAGCATTTATTTAAAAAACAACAACCTACAGAGAGTTATAGGTATTGGGCATCAATATTGACAGGAACTCTAAAACTATCTGTTAAGCCCTAAAAGGAGGTTTAAAGTGGCATCATCAAACAATGCCTTTTATCAGGAATCTTATATAGTATTTAAAACAGCCAATTTCACATTATCGGTGTTAGATCACACTTTAACAAGAAAGATATGAAAACTTGATAGAGAGGGTTAGAATGAGATTCAAATGAAAGAATTCATCAAGAAAAGCATATATAAAGACTGCACTGCAGTACTTGAAATTTTCCATTACCAAAATAGAATTCTAAAAAAGCCACAGTCCCCTTCAGCTCTTTCTTCTAAAACACGAGGGTTGCTGTTGATGACTTTAACAAAGGATTAAGTTTATTGGTGATGGTTTATAGTCAATCAGTGTTTTATATGTTAATACATTTTTCTTCGTTAAGGCCCTCCTCATTCTTCTTTGTGTCCTAGCTCCACACTTTTCTGGTCATGGAGCTTCTGAACGGGGGCGAGCTGTTTGAGCGCATTCAGAAGAAGAAGCACTTCAGTGAGACCGAGGCCAGCTACATCATGCGGAAGCTGGTTTCCGCCGTGAGCCACATGCACGATGTCGGGGTGGTGCACAGGGACCTGAAGCCCGAGGTACAGAGAGCACCTTCTCTCCCGTCCTCCACCAGCCTCATTGTTAACTCTCCCCCAGATGTGGGCTTTTTACTGCCCGGGCTTTCTGCTAACTACATACCTGGAAATACCATGTTTCTTGGATTTTTTTTGTTTTCTATTTTGGTCTAAAATAAATTTGTGTCTCTCTCTCTCTCTCTTTCTCTCTCTCTCTCATCCCCCACCTCCCCCCCTCCCCCCAGCTGATCATCTTGAAGTTATATTTGTGTGAGAGCCTTTTATGGAAGAAATACTTTATGCAACAGTTGTAGATTAAAAATAGCAATGGAAATTTTTATAGCAGAAAGTAATATCCCCTCTATATGTATACCATTTTAGAGGGTTTTTAGAGATAGGAAAGGAGAGGGATAGAAAGACAGAAATATCCATGAGAGAGAAACAATGATACATACCCCCTAGTGAGGATCTAACCCGCAACCTGGACATGTGCTCTGACCAGGTATTAAACCAGTGATCTCTTGTTTCATGGGTTGATGCTCAACCACAAAGCCACACTGGCTGGACTAGAAGGGTTTTATTAGTGGTATATTTTGAAAGCTTATTTTTCACATTTGTAATCAAATCAGTTAGCTCATAAATAGGAATGTATATAATTCTGTTCTAAATATTAAACACAAAGAATTATCTTGGTTTAATTAGTTACGCCATCCTTATATGTGCTCTTCTTTGCTCATGTACTTATAGAACTGAGTATCAGTGCAGAAATAGCAGCTTTTTCACATATTTTTTCTTTGAAAGGTAAAGAAGGTTCTAGCTACAGACTGATCCCTTTTAAGTATAAAAAAAATAAGGAAGTTCCTCCCTTTTAGAAAATCATCAAAATAATTTTAAAATTTGAAAGCAAAACCCAGTAATTTATAAACGAATAACAGTGAGTCATCCTTTACCCTATTCAAAATTATACATAGTTTCTCTTTAAAATAGAACATCATTTTTATTACCTGTGTGGTAATAATGCATTTTCAAATATACTTAAAATTATTTTTTGGTGTTTATTTTTTGTGTTAAACTCCAAAAGAATATTTCTCAGAAAGCACCATTTTTGCTTTTTATTTAAGTATCTTGGATTATTGGCAGGAGGAGGATGTTTTTAAAAATCGAATTATGTGCATTCAAATATAATTGACCAATTTCTAAAGTGTTTAAACTTCAGCCTGTGTATTTTTTTTCCAACCCTCTTCTGAAGACTTGCTCACTGATTTTTAGAGAGAGAAGAAGGGAGAAAGAGAAAGAAAGAGTAAGAAAGAGAAAGAGAAACCATGATGTGAGAGAGAAACATGCATCAACTGCCTCCTGTATGCACCCCCACTGGGGATTGAACCCACAACCTAGTTTTGTGTTTTGACTGAGAGTTGAACCTGTGCTCTTCCAGCATATGGGCCAATGCTCCAACCAATGAGCCCTATTGGCCAGGGCCAATCTATGTATTAGATGTTACTGTTATTCTTATTACTAGTGGCAATCAAACTACATTTGTTTTATGAACTTGCAACTATGACAGCTACCCCTCTGCTTCCTTCATCATAGTTCTCACTCTCCTACAGAACTCCCACTGAAAATATGGTGCTCTGTGCATCGGAGATTAGCTGTCTATTTTTAAATGTGAAAGCACACCACTTAAATGTTTTCTTGATAGACAAGGAGCAAGCATGTAATTTTCTGAAGTTGAAAAGATCTGTTCCATGACTGTATAGAATTCGTTTTCACATGTTTTATTGTTTGATAACTGGCCATCTGTTATCTCAGGAGCCTCAAAGGATGCAACTGTCCTTCCAGCAGGATTTAGTTTGCCTTCCTAGTTTACTGAACTTAATTCTTCTCTTGTTAAAAAACTTTCCTCTCACATAGTCGTTTGAAATGAAGACTTGTCAGATTATTTACGATATTCCACTACAGTTGTAATTCTAAATCAAAATTAATTTTTAGAGAAATGAAAATGTACCTTTGTGCTAACATTTTCATAACAGAAGAGCTTTCACTTTGACTTTTAAATGGAAGAGAATATTATTTCCAAACTAAACATTTGATCCTTTTCCCAGTGATGTACCATTTTAATATCTGACTCTGTATCTCTTGGTAGATATATTTATGTGGCACTCATTTTCTGCATAGGCAAAATCCTCAATTCTAGGTGAGAATCAGATAAATTTAGAAACTGGCTGACATTCTTATAAGCTGCTTTGTATTTCTGAAATTGGTTCCCATAGTCTTAAAAGATTAAGAAAAATTCTATCAAATTCATTTCAGCCGAAACTGGTTTGGCTCAGTGGTACAGCGTCGGCCTGCGGACTGAAAGGTCCCAGGTTCGATTCCGGTCAAGGGCATGTACCTTGGTTGCGGGCACATCCCCAGTAGGAAGTGTGCAAGAGGCAGCTGGTCAATGATTCTCTCTCATCGATGTTTCTAACTCTCTTCCTCTCTTTAAAAAATCAATAAAATATATATTTTTTTTAAAGTTCATTTCAGGCAGCACTTGAGACGAAGATGCAAGGAGATTGAATTGTTATTCCCTCCCATTCCTGACTGTTGACACCCCCCTCCTCTTAGAGCTGGGAGAGGACAGGAGAGGGGCATGCCACATCCCCTCCATTTCCAGGGCTAAGATCAAGGGAGTCTGCTGCCATTATTGATAAGGAATGAAGGGAAGTCAGACCCTCTCTATGCCTGAATCCAAGATTGACGTGATTTCCATACATGGCATCACCAAGTCCCATGACGTTTTAGTGAGAGACCGACGTGAGTTTTTGTATCTCACAGAATTTACTGTTCACTGATGAGAATGACAACTTGGAAATCAAAATAATTGACTTCGGGTTTGCGCGCTTAAAGCCGCCTGACAATCAGCCTCTCAAGACCCCGTGCTTCACCCTTCACTACGCCGCCCCCGAGCTCCTGAACCAGAATGGCTACGATGAGTCCTGCGACCTCTGGAGCCTGGGCGTCATTCTGGTGAGTTCGTTGCAGTAGTGCCTGAAACCTCGCCAGTTCTTAAATGTCCTCGGCACCCGTCTCTCTGTCTGCTGGTTCCCCTAAATTCATGAAAAAATTGGCAGGTTGGTTCTTTTCGTTTAGAGGCCTGATGGAAGGCTGTTTGCTTTTCTTAAAATTTGCATGGGAGAAAATGTAGGAATTTTGAGTTTGGTTTATTTTGAAATATTTAAGGCTGCTATGTTTTATGTGAATAAAAGAGTTATATATTGTTTTTTAGAAAGGTAGTGAATTTTCAAAAGATAGGCGTATTAGATGTAATGTGAAAATAGCAAAGTGGCTCAATAGAAAAAGAGTAAAAATATATTCTTTGAGCCCTAGCTTGTTTGGCTGAGTGAATAGAGCAATGGCCTGCGGATGGGAGGGTTCTGGGTTTGATTCCTGTCAAGGGCACATACCTCATTTGCAGGCTCCATCCCCACCTCTAGTTGGGGCGCATGCAGGAGGCAACCAACGATGTGTCTCTCACGTCGATGTTTTGCTATCTCTGTCTCTCCCCCTCCCTTCAACTCACTCTAAAAATCAATAGAAAATATTCCCAGGAGAGGATTAACCAAAATATATAGATTTATAATGTGTGTGTGTGTGTGTGTGTGTGTGTGTGTGTGTGTGTGTGTGTGTATGTATATATGTGTATGTATATATACAATATTCTTTAAGGTTTTGAGACTAAAGATGTAATTAAAGAATATCATTTAGGAGAAGTTACAAGTTAATAGTAGAATTTTAAATGTTTCTAGTGACTGAAAGTGATCCTGGTCAGCATGCTTTTCACAAAATGTCCTTGGCTTCAATGATCAGAAAGAGAACATTAAGCTAGCAAGATCTGGGTGTGTTTTCTCTTCAAAATACCTTACTTTTTATGCATGTAATGTATAATGTCTGATCCAAGGGAGAAATTTTCAAAGGCTACAGGAAGAGAGAAGAAAAAAATGGCATCACTGGTAATCTCATCATAGAGACCGTCTCCCTCACGCTCCCATCCCTCGCCCCCACACCACCATGCTGTGTATTCCTTATGTCTTTCTATAAGCTTTTTTATAGACATGCATATGTTTTTGGGTTTTTTTTTTAATGAGAGTAGAGTGTACATGTAGTTAGAGTCTCAAAAGTTTAACCATTTACTAATGAGAAGTTAGCATTCTCCAGTTTTTCATTAATTTTAAACGATACACATGAATATTGTTTATATCTGTGCTTACATTCGTCTCACCAATTGTTTAGAATAGTTTCTAGGAGAAGGGTATACACATCTTTACTTTGAAATCTATGCCTGGATTTCCTTGTAGAAGGTTTTTCGTATCTTCTCCGAACTATAGGCAAATACATAGGAGACTATCAATGTCAGTCTTAAATCGCTTCCTGCTGTTGTCATTGCATGAGTTCCTCTGATGAATATTGTCTCAGCATCTTTTCGTGTATCTGGACATTTGTACTTTTCCTTTAGGAGTTGCTATGTGTGAGTTTTACCCACTTTCCTGTGGGGAATTTTTCTTACTGGACTTGAAAGCTCTGTTAAGGGTTTTAATCTTGTCTGCCATTAATATTGGAAATGTTTTTCTGGTTTGTCCTTTATTCCACAACTTTGTTTAGAGTAATATGGGATTTTAATTTTGTTTTCAGAGGGATTTAAATAGAAAGGGGGTTTTGTTTTTTTTATTTCTATGTAGTAAGATATGTCAGTCTGTTGTTTTATGGAACCTGCTCTGATTCAGATTGTCACTCTACCCTAACCCAAGATTATAAAAATATCCTCCTAAATTTCCCTCTAGAATTCTATTTTATTTTTACACGTTAACCAGCACGCCATCTGGGGTTTATTTTGGTGTCAGCTTGCTTTCCCCTAATGGCTAACCAGGTGTCCCTGCAGGATGGGTCCTCTTTTAGTTGAAGTTTCATAGGGTTTTTATTTAAGTAATTCTAAGTCATCTCTATAATTTTCAAACTAAAATTTATGAATCATATTTTTAAAATAAAAATAAACAACTAGCTTCTATAGACTTGAGAGTTTTATTTAGGGACTTAAACATGAGTAGCACTCTCCTGAAAAAATATGTCTAAATAAAAAAGAGGTTTTCATTTTTTGTAATAATATAAGATTATCCCCTGTTAAAGAACCCTTACTTTAAATATAAGCCAATTAAACCATCATCCTTTTTATGGTTCTAAAATATCATCTTAGAGCTTCTGAATGCTGTCTCCATGGAAACAACTTGGTGTGATGGTACGGACAGAAGCTGTGCTTCTCTCTAGATCTCACAGGTTTTTAAGAGAAACAGGACAGAGAAGCAGTTAGATGATGCCCCAGGGAAGCAGTCACCAGATCCAGACTGTGTGCAGGCCACAGGACACACAACCCAGTTTCTCCAGCAAATAAATTATAAGAAAAAATAGCGTGGGAGCCTATAGGTTAAAATGACACTTCAAAAAGGCGACATCTGGCCGAAACCAGTTTGGCTCACTGGATAGAGCGTCGGCCTGTGGACTGTAGGGTCCCAGGTTCGATTCCGGTCAAGGGCATGTCCCTTGGTTGTGGGCACATCCCCAGTAGGGAGTGTGCAAGAGGCAGCTGATCGATGATTCTCATTGATGTTTCTAACTCTCTATCCCTCTCTCTTCCTCTCTGTAAAAAAATCAATAAAATATATATTTTAAAAAAATAAAGGGACATCTGTAATACTTTCAACAATAGAAGACATTTAAGAAATAGTGTTTGCATTTTACTTGAATTCTGATTCAAGCAAATTTTAATTTCAATCCTATTTATTAAATTCAACCTAAAGCTAACTCATACAGATGTGATTAAATATACAGGGCATATAACATAATTGGAGAAATTTGAATATGGAATTATACAAAGGAATTACTGCTAATTCTTTTAAGTAGATAATGGTGGTGTGATTGTGGTTTTTAAAAATCCTTGCCTTTTAGAGATGCATAATGAAACAGATGAAAAAGAAAGTGAACACCTGCATTAAATTGTCAAGAAAAAAGAGTGCTTTGCAAACATTTCCATATAAATGAATGCATATCTCCAGCAGACAAAGCCTGAATTATCCCATAGCAAGCCCAAAGCTTCTTTGGAGTCTCCTGATTTGCATTAGAAAGCGATGGTCCTTTTGCATGTTGCATCCATCAAACATGGATGTGGATATTTTAATATGAAAATAATTTCTATTACCCCCACTGACTAAAACAAATACTTCAGGAAGGTACATCACATAGTATCATGTAGCTTTGATTGCAACCCAGTTCTACCTCATGGATGTGCAGGACGTTAATTAGCATAGAGCTTACCCCCTGCCTCATCTGCTCAGGGCTGCCATAGCATAGTACTGCAGACGACACTTATTTTCTCACGGTTCTAAGGCTGCCAAGTGCACTGTCCAGGGGCCAGCATGGTGGTATCCTTACATACCCTTTCCTCTCATTCTCGGGGAGAGTGAACAAGCTCTGGGTGCGTCTCTTGGAAAAGACACTATTCCTGTTCAGTCAGAACCCCACCCAGGACCTCATTTAACTTAAATTACGTCCATATAGCCCTTTCTCTAAATACAGTCACACTGAGGGTTGGGTCTTCAATGTATGAATTTTGGAGACATACACTCAGTGTATGACACAGTCTTTAGAAAATGTAGGACGGGATGAGCTGCTGCTGCCTGCTGCTCCCCTGGTTGCAAGTCTCATGGGGACCTTAGAATTTATGAGGAAGAAAGCAGCTGTACACCTGAGGAAAAGGGTACACACAGGGTCCTTTGTCTTGAGGGTTCTCATCTCTTTTCTAAAGGTGAGAATTTAGGGAAGTTCTCAGGGGAGGGTCTCAGCAGAATATTCAGTAGTTTGCCAGGTGTGTCCTTTGCCAGGTGTGTCTGACGCATCAAATTGAGCATGTATAAGAGTAGCAATCCTTTTCTGGTCAGCTTCACTGCTCTATTTTTATCTGGGATCTGTCTGTCTCTAACTGGGCTTTTTTGATATTTATTCCCCTGACTTTATCGATTCTGGGGTTTGGCTAGCACCAATGGCACCAACTGGGGTCTCTGTGATCTCTCTTCCTGACCAGGATGTTCTAAGCCACTCACTGTCTGATTGGGGAGGAGAGGTGTAAACTGTTTGCTCCTAGGTGTCTTTGTTAGGGAAGATAAGATCTTGCCATGTATTAGCAGGCTGTTAATTGCTCAGCCTTATTTAACTATTTTGTCTCCTGTTCCCTCATTCCACTTGCCAGGGAATAGTCCTACCTCCTTACTGACATGCCTCAGGGGAGCTGTTTTCAGAGAATAGTCGCAGAGGGCGTGGCCTTGCCCAGAACCCTTCTGGCCTGCTCCGCAGCTCTTCAGTGGAATTGCTGGAGCCTCTTTCACAGATACTCTAGCATCAGGTCTACCAAATCCTGTAGCCAGAGTGGCAGGAGGGGTTGTATTACAGCTTGCACTTGCAACAACACCTTCTTTACTCTGGGCCTCACTTAAACTGGTAGCCTTCCAAGTCGCCTGACAAAACGATTGGAGCCATCTTCTCAGCTGCAATATATGCCTCCACCCAGACCCAGGGAAGCCCGCTGAGCTCTGTGTTGCTCTCCTACGGGGTCAGGGTACCGCAGCCGACTTTCAGAGGGCAATGTCTATGCCCTGACCATTGGCTCTAAACCCTTCCCCAGGTGACAGTCCCCGGATGTTTGTAGTTTATCTCCACCCTCTGGCATGCATATGTATAGGACACTATTAGGATACCTGCAAGTTTCTGCCCATGGACCTCATGTAATGAGGATAACAATACAGAGAACCATCATGGCTTCTCTCTAGTGTCAAGATGATGGAGCCCCCGTAGGCCGTTACAGCAGAGCAGGAAAGTCAGCATAGCTCTTGGGTAAGAGTGAGTACCGTCCATGCCATGTGAGCACTTTCTGCTTTGACCTTTCCTGTTGAAAGGAATGAAGAAGAATCCATTGACCAGGTCAATAGGTGCTTATCAGTGCCATCAGCTGACGTGACGTGTACCCCATCAGCACGGCAGCTGGTCCCTGCTGGCCCATCTTAGCCACGGCGGCAGTTCCTCTGTGTTTGCACCATTCCTGTGCTCAATTCCTCCTCCTCACAGCCTGTGTTCCTTAGTAACATAATTGTGTATAAGCTTTTGCTTCAGACTCTGCTTTTGGGGAATCCAGGCTCAGGTGGTTAGTGCCAGCAGTGACCTAGAAAGCAGACCACAAAGGGGCTTGAAAGTTGTATGTCTCCCACTTTCCCAAAGGTCATGGGGTTCCTGTTGCCATCCAGCCAGAGAGAGGAGGAAAGGGTTAGCAGCGAGCCTGGGATGGAGAGTGGGTGTGACTGAGCAGGCTACTGCTTCTTACCAAGCGCAATGGATGGCTTGATCTTGTTATTTTACTCTGTAGGTGAAGAACTGGTCTGAGAGGTTAACTGATCCTCCCGAGCTAGGAAATAAGCACTTGTTTGAAGCCAAGTCCATCTGACTGTAACACTCATTCTCTCCTCTGTGTCTTCTCTCTGTGAGAATGATGACAGAGGACAGAGCCCCTAGTTAGATGGGGGCGGGGGGCAGACTTTGCTAGCTGAAGAAAGCAAGTGGTGATCTAAGGAGACGTGTAGCTTGTGCCAAGTCAGGGAGGCGGAAGAACTGTCCGTAAGGAAAGTGGTGGTGGAGCCTGGGACCTGTGGAGGCCCAGGCCCAGGGGAAGGTGTGGGAAGCCAGGAAGGAGTTTGCATAGGGCCGTGCTGGAAGGGATTCCACTGCTTACCTGTTCCTCTGTGTCTGCAGGATGGATAATGGATAGGAGTCAGAAGGGGGCAGTGGAGATCTTGGTGTCAGTTAGGAGACTGTGAGAGGGATGTTGGGCAGTTTCTCCTAACCCGTGGGCCCCAGGTCAGTCTGATCCAGTTGTAGCCTGCCTTCCATACCAAAGCTTTAGGAAGTTTTGATGTGTTTTTTTTTTTAAGTTGTTTGTCTTTGTTCTACAGATGTCCTAGCATTTCCCTCCTTAGAACAAATATTTTTCTTACTATATAGCTTAAAATTAGAAACAGGTGTCTTCTTCTTGTATTATATTTTCAAACTCTCAGCCGAAACCGGTTTGGCTCAGTGATAGAGCGTTGGTCTGTGGACTGAAAGGTCCCGGGTTCGATTCTGGTGAAGGGCATGTACGTTGGTTGCGGGCACATCACCGGTAGGGGGTGTGCAAGAGGCAGCTGGTCGATGTTTCTCTCTCAATCTCATGAGTGTAGTTTTTTTCCTTCTCAGGCACAGCTTTTTTCTTTCTTTTTTTTTTTTCTTTTTTTTTTTTTTTCCAGAAAGTCCAAATTCGCCCAAAGCCCCCTTGTCTCAGGTAACAACCTCAGAGAGTCAAGCTTCTTCTCTGGGTCTGGGTCTTGGTCATACATCACCCATTCTTCTTACATGGGTTGTGTTGAATGCTTACCTGGCTGTATCTCTTTGTTTTCCTTTTTATGTTAAACTAGAGGCTCGGTGTACGGATTCGTGCACCGGTGGAGTCCCTCAGTCTGGCCTGTGGGGATGGGGCCGAAACTGGCTCTCCGATATTTCCCAAGGAGTCCTGGGTTGTGAGAGGGCAATTCCCAGGTGACACACCCTGGAATTGGGCTCCCTCCTCTCTAGTTCCAGTTGCGTCACTCAAGAACCACAGCTGCCAAGTCACCACAGCTTGTCAGCTCCTGCATTGAGTGCCTGCCCCCTGGTTATCAGTGCGTGTCATTGCTACTGGTTGGAGCTTCTGCCTCCTGGTGGTCATTTTGCGTCATAGCTATCGCTTAGATGCTTAGGCTTTTATATAGAGAGATGTATCACCCTGCCTGGGAGTTTCCATCTTTCTTGAGAGCCAGCGTGTCAGAACTGCTTCACCATCCTTGCCATCTTGAGGATGCGTTAGCTTGTCAGATGACCAGGGCAGAAAAAAGGCTGTTGCACCTAGTTGCTTGGAGCCTCTGGAGCTCCATGTCTCCTACTTAGGGCTCTGCTGTTAGTGTCCCTCCCAACCAACTGACTCCACCACCCTTCTCACCACGAGGTTCTCTGATCTGCACACAGACATGGTGACTACCTAACCACCAGCCCACCCACCGCCCTCTGCAGCTCCCCTCACCCTGAGAGCCTGTACATCACTCAGCAAGCTGAGAGCAGACCTCCAAGAAGTTTAAGGGTCACCTTTCAAAAATCTCTACTACAAAGATCAGCCTTAGTTTTTTGGTCTTCCTGTTGACTTTTTATTTTATTTATTCATATTTATTTATTTAGAGAGAGACATCAATTTGTTGTTCCACTTTTCATGCATTCATTGGTTGGTGCTTGTATGTGTCCTGACCGGGCATCAACCCACAGTGCTCTAACAAGCTGAGCTATGCGGCCAGGGCTCTATAGACTTTTTACCTTTCATGTAAAATTTCGAACGTGGCTGCAGTGAAATAAGGTGACTGTAGAGAGTTGATCGCATCTAACCCAACAGTGAGAAAAATAAAATTAAAATTGGGATAATTACAAACAAACTAAAGAAAGCCAAATAAAAAAAATTTTTTAAGTTCTTATCCATAGTTAATATCCTAAGGAAAGGATATGGAATTGGATAGAAAAAATAGTTATTCAGGGTTCTGCTGTCTTTAAATTTTCTGTTAACCTTAACACACTCTTTTTCAGAGAACCCCTTTTTCATTCTTGTTCTGGATATAGTCATACTAGAGGCCCAGTGCACAAAATTCATGCAAGAGTAGGCCTTCCTTCCCCCGGCTCCCAGCACCAGCTTCCCTCTGGCTGCCAGCAGGTACCCAGGACCTGGCTTCATCTGGAAGGTCATTCGGAAGGACGTCACATCTAATTAGCATATTATGCTTTTATTATTATAGACAAATGGTTTTAAATCTTGATGTCATAATAAGCCTCTTTATTTACAAGTCTTTGAAAGGTATTGCTTGTTTCAGCAATAGAAGCCACATAATCTTTTAAACCCAATAATTCCAATCATAAAAAACTGTTGAAACATTCTTTGTTTCTTTTTTTTCTCGATAGTATACTATGTTGTCTGGGCAAGTTCCATTCCAATCTCATGACAAAAGTTTGACATGCACCAGTGCAGTGGAAATCATGAAGAAAATCAAAAAGGGAGATTTCTCCTTTGAAGGAGAAGCCTGGAAGAATGTATCCCAAGAGGCTAAAGATTTGATCCAAGGTAAGAATCTATAACGTAAAATTTCCTTAATGTGCTGTGCAGAGATTGAAGTGGAGTCATGCCATTGCACATATATTTGTTCATTACTCAAGGAGTCCATTGTTCTAAAAGGGTTCCAGGCTGCTGTATTGTGCATTTCTTCTTACCAGAACATTCTCCCTCAGTAATCCTACCAACCGTCTCCACAGGAACTAGCACATGGGTCCACCAGCATCCTAGTCTGGCATCTCCACATTGAACTGTACTTGTCGTTGCTGTTAAACCTCACCTAAGGATATTTTTCCCATTGATTTTTAGAGAGTGGAAGGGAGTTGGGGGAGAAGGAGAGAGACAAACATTGATATGAGAGAGACACATTGATTGGTTGCTTCCCACATACACCCCAACCGGGGCTGGGGATTGAACCTGCAACCCAGGTACTTGCCCTTGACTGGGAATCAAACCTGAGACCCTCCGATGCACAGACCAATGCTCTAACCACTGAATGCACCGCCCAGAGCCAAATCTGTACTTTTTTACTCTCCTTTCCCCCAGAACGTGTGCCTCCTCACATCTCCCTCTTTTGCATTGTCAAGAAGCCAGGCCACCACGTCAGAAAGCCGGACACCTACTAGCTCCCAGCCTTGCTCGCCTCCCACAGCCAGTCACTGCTTCCACAGGTTCAGCTTCCCTCCTCACACCCCTCTCCCCATCCACATGGCCGCCACCTTAGTCCTCGTCACCATTTCTCTCCTGAGATCCTACAGCATCCTTCCAGCTTGTCTCACTTCCTCTCACGTTGCCTATCCATCATCGATCGGCAGCGTGACCTTCCTAATGTCCAGATATGCTCATGTCTCTGTTACAGATCCTTCAGAGAATCCACTGACCACAGGTCATGCCCCATCACAGCACATTGAACATTCAAGGCCTTTCACCCCCGGGCCCTGCCTGCCTCTGCCGTTGTGAACACTTGATTCCTCAATTGTGCCGAGCTTCCGGGTTTCTGCACCCCACATTCCTGTGCACTAGCTCTTCTTAACCCCTGGGCACCCTTCCTTGTTGAGCCCACTTCTCTCATCCCCCAGGACCTGTCTTCTGGAAGTTTCCCAGAGTGCCCACGCTCCCTCGGCTGGGCCTTCCCCAGCACATGTCCCCTGGTTGTGTGAGAGCTGGGCTTGTCTTCCTGTTCCCTCAGCACTCCTCTTGGAGTCTCCACTTCCACTTCTCTAGGCCTGACCGCACCCCTGGTTTGGAGAAGGTGCTGGTACGGGCGTGAAGTAGGTCTAGCTCTTTCTTCATTGGAGTTTACCCGGTCACCCTGGGGAGTCTTAGTTGGGATGGCTATTTTCTCCTGATTGAAGTCGGTTAGCCCACAGCCTCCTAGAAATAGGCTGTTGTGGGCTTGCTCATTAGCATCCAGTGCTCACCAGGGCATTGAAGAGCATATGAAAGGGTGATTATTTTTATAGGAGGTTGAAGCCTTACAGAAACCATCATGTCATGTGAACATAATTGAGATTTATATCTGAGGTTGATTTTAAACTGTTTGAAATGGCAAATCACAAAATAAAAAATGTCTCGTTTATTCCCACAGGACTTCTCACAGTCGATCCAAATAAAAGACTTAAAATGTCTGGCCTGAGGTACAATGAATGGCTCCAGGACGGCAGCCAGCTGTCCTCCAACCCTCTGATGACTCCCGACATCCTGGGGTCCTCAGGAGCCGCCGTGCACACCTGCGTGAAGGCCACCTTCCACGTAAGGGCCTGTGCCCCTCGGTGCGGGGTTTGAAAGGAATCAGATACCCGGTAACCTCCGAGACGTACTCTGAGTGATAACAGTTAACATAAGAAATAAGAGTTCTTTTAATGTCAGGATACAAACACACACACAAGCAGCAAGTGCCTGGGACCAGGGTCCCTGCGAACCCACAGTGCCCTTCCCAGACGTGTGGAATGCGGGTGTGAGATCGGGCAGTGGGCGGTATTGGAATAGCTGCAGATTTCCTGTAGGTGATGAAAACAATGTACTACCTACTACCCTGTTTCCCTGAAAATAAGACAGTGTCATATTAATTTTTTCTCCCAAAGTTGCACTAGGTCTTATTTTCAGGGAATGTATTATCTTTCCATGTGCTAGGTTTTATTTTCAGGAAATGTATTATCTTTCCATGCGCTAGGTCTTATTTTCGGAGGATGTCTTATTTTCTGGGAAACACGGTACTAGGACTTTCTTCAGAATCATTTGCTTTTAAAACGATAAATGAACACTAGGAAGTAAGGCACCCGTGAAAATTCGTTCATTCAGCAACCATTTTGGGCTTCCTGTATTCTAGAGACCACGAGGGGTGAGAAGTAGGTTCGCGGCATACGGCACTGATGGTGTTTGAAAGGCTGACTGAGCCTGCATTGCAGGAGCCGCACAGCCATGTCTGGCAGACGCAAACCCATTCAGATAGTTGTCTAAGGGGTAAATGATTGAAGGAGAAATACCATTACCTCCGAAGGGATTCTCTCGAGAAAGGAGGGATAGTGCTTCCCCTTCAGCTGCAGACATTGATTTAAAAAGTTAATGAACTAGGATATGCTAAGGTATAAAGAGATTAACTGCAAGAATTTGTAGCAGGTGATCCATATCTTCTCAGTGAGGTGATGCAAGGTTGTCAGGGGCAACGGCAGCCGTGCCAGAGCTTGAGGCTAAGAAAAGGGAAGTCAGGCTGCCCATCCACTAACGCCGTGGCCTTGATCCCCTGTGTGTAGATTAGCTGGTCAATTGCATTGACTTGGAAGTGGAGCACAGGGAGCCCACAATGGATTAAGTCTGTTTTGCGTTGGGACTTTGTGGTCAGGATTTTAAATCCCAGACATGGAGCTAGTAGAGTGATGGGGTAGCAGGGGTGTGGTGTGGAGAGGGGTGTGTTGGATTGCTGATAGTCTTCAGGAATTTCCAGCCAGTCAGTGTTTCTTACTGAGAGGTAGCGCTAACTTCTTCAAATGATGTATGAGAATCATGGCTCCCGGACAGCCAGGCTGGCTTGGTTTAAGCAGCGTCCTCAGCCATCACCCCGTGAACTCTGGACCCCGCAGGAGGTTTGGATACCGTGGTTTTAGGACTCTGTTCCCAAACACCTTGGAGCTGTTGGTTGACAACCACAGTCGCCTCCCGCTGTAGGTCATAATTGCCAAGGAATCTTCCATCCTGTGCCTTATCGGGGTTCCCTTGTTTCTCTCTCCTAGGCCTTCAACAAGTACAAGAGAGAGGGGTTTTGCCTTCAGAACGTGGACAAGGCCCCCCTGGCCAAGAGGAGGAAGATGAAGAAGACCAGCACCAGCACGGAGACGCGCAGCAGCTCCAGCGAGAGCTCCCACTCTTCGTCCTCCCACTCCCACGGCAAAACCACCCCCACGAAGGCCCTGCAGCCTGGCCACCCCGCCGACAGCAGTAACCCCGAGCCCCTCTTCCAGGTCTCGGACTGAACGGCCCGGGAACGGGAGGGCCGCACCCCGGAGCCTGGCACCTTCGCTCCCTCGGCAGTGCCCGAGGTGATGTTCCATCAAAGTCAAAGCTTGTCTACTTTAAGAAAATAAATTATCCTGAATGAGCCAAAAAAAAAAACAAAACAAAAACCACCAACCAAACAGAAAAACAAGTCCCACTGGTCTCATTGGAATCTGCCTCCTGGGGAATGTTTTCAGGAAAACCCATTGGTTATCCTTGTCCTGAAGCACTGGACAGACAATGTTACTGTGAACGAAGCACAGGTCACACGGCTTAGCGACTTACCTGGTGCCGGCAGGACGGCCTGGAAGGAGCAGAGGCCCCATAGATGCAGTCCGGGGCTGGCCGGATTCGAACTGCCTGCAGAGTAGTCACAGGCCTCTCAGCTGTCTGCCAGCAATTTGCTCCTACTGTGGCGACACCTTCTGCTTTGCCTTGTGGATAATGTGGGCTTTTTAAAGAGATTTGCACCCTTTCAGCAGGAATTTATCAGAGAAAAAAAAAATGTCTGTTTTAAAAAAGAGTCTGTAATGAATTTTATGTGCAGCATATACTTATTTCTGAGCGAGGACTTTAACTTATTGTTTTTATTTTGTGGTTACATATGATGATAACCTACTAGTCATCTTTTTCAAAAAGTACAAGAAAAGCTATGAGGACTCGTGGCCCAGGCTCTGCCTTCGGGGCCCATCTGAGTGCATGCTCAGCTCCGTGTGTCTCACTCTGCATTGCTCTGTCCTGGCAGTTTGGTCAGTGGTATTGCGAGCCATTAAGGTACATGTCTCTGTTTTAGGTAACGTTGCACTTTATAAAAGATTATGAATAAAGCGAACTGTTTTATAGAGTGCACTGGTTAAAGCATATGTACTGTATTTTTGCCTTTTTTTTTTTTTTTTTTCGTTATCTACTTTAAATTTGTCCTCACACCCCCCCTCTTCCTTGTTTGCAACAAGCAGCATGAGCCGTGTGGCATCGAGGCTCCCTCAGCCTCCCAGGCACCGACATGAGGAAAAGCGACAGGGAAGTTCTGCTCAGCACTGTGCTTTCTACTTGTACACTGTGTTGTCCGCAGTGAGGCACTTCCTCCTGTGGCCGGATATCATGTTCATCGTATTTTAGAATCATAACTATGGCTTGTTTGGAAATTTTCCTGTTCAATTTCAAATCCAGAAAGCATATTTTATAAACTTACGTGGAGCACTTTTATTGCTCAAAAGTTCTGAATTCATACACAAAACAAGTGCTTTGTGATGAAGAGATTGCTGCATTTATTACAAATAGGATTAATTTATTTCCTATGCAAAAAAAAGAGGTGGTCAGATTTGTATGTTCTGTTTTCTTTTAAAGCTATCCCATGGAATGTTAGGACTGAGAAAGGTGATCTTGGCCATGTTTACAGGGATCATGCTTAAAAAGATAAATCCCAATACATTTCTTTTCGTTTTTGTTCATGATAACCTCTGGAGCGCTGGTTTGGAATTTGGGTGTGATATTTATTTATTCATTTGTATTCATTTGTTTCAATAATGCAGCATTAATTTCAACCAATTATGAATACTAAGAATATTGCACTCCATGTAACAGTAGTATATTTATTGCTAAATCAATGTATATATTATTAGCACAAGCAACAAAAAATGGCAAATATTAAAATATTTTCAAAATATTGTATTACCTTGTTCACATTTTTGTCCACAATGGTTATTGGAAATAGCTTTTAATACTTTTCAGTGGCCCAACTGACTACATAATTCTTACTGAATCGACTGTACCCCCAGCTTGTGGTCATTCCGAGTAATGATGGAAGGTCTTTCATGAATTATTACCAAATAGAGCTAATGCACAAAATGTGGTTCCATCAGGCACAGGTTTATAATAAGAGAATGTCCATTTATGTCTATAGTTATGTTGATTACTTTTGGAAATGTGTAAGTTAGCTCTTTAAGTATTTTTTTAAACTGCATTCTCATAGGCAAAGCTAGTTGTAAAGTATAGACTAAAAGAATTTTGTTGCTAAAGGAAAATGATCCAGAAACACGGTCAGTATTCCCTAATGATTGATGATAGAACTGACTTATTGTGAACATTGAAAATGAATGGGTTTCATTTTTCTTTCTTTCTCTTGCTGTCTCCTCTGGAGGACTCGGCGGAAAATGAAATGGGCAGAGTGTCAGGGAGAGGAAGGAAAGAGAAGGGTAATCCGTCAACTGAATAATCGAGGACAGGCTTTTGAGAAGAGCTCAGAGGACAGAGTAGCGGCTCTTGTCTTGTGCCTTCATCCTCACCCTGCTGTAAGCACCGGGGAGCTGCCTCTGGTGTCAGGTTGCTGCCATTCAGTTGGATGCAGGTGGTTCGTGTACAGTGAAATGCACTTTAAAATTCACAGAGTTTCCACTTAGTCACATCCAAAGCAAACTAAAAAGTACTTCATATGAAAATGTGAAATGGAAGGGCTCCTTTGGTATTAGGAGTAAAATAAAAATATAACTAAGAAAAACAAATGCGCCGAAACCGGTTTGGCTCAGTGGTAGAGCGTCGGTCTGCGGACTGAAAGGTCCCAGGTTCAATTCCGGTGAAGGGTATGTACATTGGTTGCAGGCACATCCCCGGTAGGGGTTGTGCAAGAGGCAGCTGGTCGATGTTTCTCTCTCATCGATGTTTCTAGCTCTCTATCTCTCTCCCTTCCTCTCTGTAAAAAATCAATAAAAATATATTTAAAAAAAAGAAAAAGAAAAACAAATGCATACATTAAGTTCTCTATACAGTTATGGAGATAGAACCGCATCACCCCTTCCCTTCTTTTTTATTTTATCCAAAGTATGTGGCTTTCATGCCATCATAAATCCCAGCTCACAGCGCATCTTTTGTAACTAAGGCTAAGTGAGAGGCAAGATTAAGAAAAGGAAAGTGATAGAGGAAAGAAATTTTGAAAGACCAGTTTCTAATTACTGTGCCAGATCCTATGGCTGACTGAGTTAAATTAATTATTTTGAAATTTACTAATTCTTCCAAACCTCTGTAAAATAATAAACTGCCAACCCCCTGGAAAAGAAAGTCATGTTTCCAAGTTAATTTCAACATATTTGTTTGTCTTAGAGTTGCAGATTAATTTAACCATGAAAAATTGCTTTTAATTTTTTATATTACTGCTAATTTCTTCAAGAACTATATAAATGGCAACATTTTAAATATAAGCTGTTATTTTTAAGAAACCAGGATAGCAGTGACTTTTTTTTTAAAATAAGTGAATTCCTTTCATATATCATTTTTAAAAATATGTTCTCAAATAGTTTATAGAAGTCTACAATTTAGTCTTCTTGTTTGCTTTGCCTCCATTTCAAACACTTGTTATTGTATTTATTAAAATCCTGGTACCTCAAAATGGTGAAAATTTCTAAATTATTAGCCCTATACATGCTTTAGAACACTTGATTATTTTGGATGCTCTCCCAGTGACTAATAATAACATAACTGGATGTTTATGTTATCACACTTCTAATATCCTTTTAAGATCTAAGTGAAAAAGGAAGTTCTGATATACCATTTACACTATATCAAAAATACCAACTCCTAGATGGTTTATTGTAACATAATGAAATATCTATATATATAAAAGGCTAAGTGTCCATCCATCTGACTGATACCTATGACGTGTACTGACCATCAGGGGGCAGACACTCAATGCAAGAGCTGCCATGACACACACTGGCCATTTAAAAATAAACAGCAGCACAGACCTGGCGCCCACAAACCAACACTCGACTTCCCCAAAGTGGGACACAGGCTCCACCACCACCCCAGGGCGACATCCCACCAAATCACAGCCAACACTGCCAAGACCCCCTGGTGCAAAATGTGGTCCACAGCCCAGCCCAGAAAGATCACACCAAGTAATGATGTCATGTAATGCCCAGCTTCCTCTCCCTAACAACTAGGCTCCTTGGAGTTTCTTCAGCCAGGAACCTGACTTGCTTTATAGCCAGGTGCAAACATTTCATACTTTAACCAAATGTTTGTGAAGCATTTTCCCGTGCCTCATCTCATTTGATCCTCACAGAAGACCTGGGATAGGTAGAATCTTCTTTTCTTTTCTTTATCCAAAAAAATGGAGATTTAGAAAATTTAGAAATTGACTGAAAAGAAGTAAGAAATGGTGAAACTTGAAAATGACTTCAGGTTTTTTCACTGTGCAGAATATAACCAAGCACTGCAATAGTTAAATATTTTACCCTTTGTTCTCTCTGCATGATCTACAATAATAATTTGCTTCATATTGATATTTAGTGCTGTGTTCTCTGCATGATTTACAATAATAATCTGCTTCATGTTGATATTTACTGCTGTGGTGCTGACAAGACCTGAAAGAGAAGTTGGGATGCTTCACTGGACTAGAAAAAATTTAGCTAAATCACAAAGCAGATCTAGTTAAGCAAGTTTATCTATATAAAAGGCTAAGTTGATTTCCTCACGCGCGATACATATAAAGCTCTCGCTGGCACATATCGCACACATGTTTTGATCTATCATTGTCAATCATGAATTGGTTGACACTTCTATTATAGAGAAAGGGCAAATAGCGATATTAAAATATTCTAATTAATTTCCTTTCAATGTGCACAAATCTGTGTACCAGGACATTAGTCTTAAAAATATATTACTTGGGTCCCTCAACTGCCTTGCACATGAACACCTAATTTCTGGCCTTTAATTAATTATATCCCCCACATGAGTGTCCATCAGGCAATGCCTTTATTTTGCACTAAAATGAAGCTTGCAGGCTCTGATGAAATTCAGAATTTAAATGTGATTATAAAACTCAAAAAGTGGGTGGGAAAGTAATCTTGAGATAACAGGAAGTATGTGCATCAAGTAAATATTTTAAGTATAATCTATTATACCAAAAGAAAATAGCTGCTACAACACCATATTTTATTCTGTCTTGTTAAGTGATCTCACTCCAAATTGTGACATTTCTTAG